ATAAATTTTCTGGTTTTGTACTAACATGGAGGCTTTAGGTTCCATGCTAAGTTGGGATACTATATCGTTGACAAAAGCTTCAATAAGTTGTAAACTCAGCATCGTTTTAGAGTTGTGTGCTACTACTAATAGTAGTCGGATCCCAAAATGAACAAATTAATAAATCAAAATAAAGAAATAAATAGATCATATCTAATGCTGAGCTATTTCACTTATCAGAACTTGACTAAACTTCAGTAGATTCTAAGTCAGCATCTTCTTAGTGTTGAACTGTGATACTATTAATATTATTCAAAATGTGGATGTTATTTTAAAATTGAAAAAATACCATTCAATATGATCTACTACACACGAAATACCTAGAAACAGGATTTTGGAGGACTTCAACATATTCTACCCATGTATCACATATTGTCAAAATATGTGAAGTTGCTTAATTTTCTGTCCCTTGGTACATGATTAAAAACAATGTTGAAAATAACGAAAATGAGTTATATAACGCTTGACTTCTTGTTAAGGGTTAAAAGAAAAAAGGAAAAAAACTTAATGTATAATGTATGTTATATTGTTTATTAATTATTTAGATATTTAATAAATACTAACAATTCATAATAACTTTATTACTTAGAATCATTAAACTTTTCAAACATAACATATCAAATATAAAAATATAGTATCATAATTTCTTAACTAAAGTTAGTCATATATGACTAACAACCTAAGTTGCATGGAAACGAGTATGCGTACTGGTATGGGTGCGGATACTGGTACAGGACATGGCAAAATTGTAAAATCTAAGGTACGAGGACATGGCTACATATATACATATTGAATTAATAACGTACATGAGATCATTTTTTCCGCTTCATGTGCCATTAGTTTATATTCCGATCACATTTTAAAGTTTCTTTTATCATAAATTGCAAAATGGGCTTGTTATTTTCAACACCCAAACAAAGTGATGCAGGTAAAGCTAAGATTGGACCCCCACAAAAGCACTACTTTACCTTGCTTCCTCTCAAATACAAAGCAACCAAACATCCACTAATGCTTTGTATGTTCCTTGAAATGGAGCAGTTTTTTCTTCGTAATCTTAGCTAATAGTGGTTACTGATGGATATGCACCGTGTCTCATAAAATGATTGTCAAGGTGCTTTCATTAATATCAAGGTGAGGGTATAGATGACCTCATATTTGAATTGTAGGGAGAGTCCTTATTGCCGTCAAATTGAGTTTTCTTAGGGTGTCCTATAGTGCCATGGACCAGCTAGAGTGACTGGTGGATTTTTGCTCGCCTTTTAGATGGTGGTGAGAGTTTTTGAGCCCTCAAAAGGTTCTTCAAGTATGTATGTGCACAATTTGGTCACTGTGCCGTGTGGACTGAGGAAAATGAGGTTGTATATGCTGTCTTATTTGGCAACATCGTATATTGGAGTTTTGATTAGGTAATGTGCACCTATGAAGCACGGATACTCCCCCAATGACCACGAATCCGTGTCTGACACGAATCAGACACGTATTCGTGCCCGACACGTGCAAGACACGTGTCGAACACGGTCAAACCGTGTCCGACACGGTCAAACCGTGTCCGACACGGGTCAACGGGTCAATGGGGGGGGATACGGTCAACTGGGAGGGGGACACGGCTGGGATACGGTAAAAAAAAATACATAACCCGTAACCAAAACCCAAACCCAAAAGCCCTAATTTTTTCACTTCACTCACCTCTCTCGAGAAGCCGCCTCCTCCAGCGATCGCAAGCTTCTGCCGTCTCTCGTCGTCGATCTCCTCCACCCGAAGCTTCTCGTCGTCGATCTCCTCCACCCAAAGCTTCTCGTCGTCGATCTCCTCCACCCAAAGCTCGTCGTCGTCGATCTCCTCCACTCGTCGTTGCTAGGTTCGTCGTCGCTGCTAGGTTCGCCGTCCCTCTCTCTCTGACTTATCTCCGTCCCCCTCTTTCTCTGTCTCTCTCTCAACACTGTCCAGCTTTCGTCCCTCTCTCTCTCTGTCTTATCTCTATCCCCCCTCTCTCTCTGTCTCTCTCTCAATCTCTCACTCTCTCTTTTAACTTTTTTTTAAGACTTATCTTTTTTTTAATGCAGCTTTGTGTTTGACTGTTTGTGCTACTGTTGATTTGTGAGCAACTGAGGACCACTTCATTTGGTATTTTTTTTTCAATTTCAATTTTAATTTTAATTTCAGTTTTAATTACAATTTTAATTTCTTAACATATGAATATATTTTCCAATTTGTTAGTCAATAATTTGTTAGTCAATAATTTTGTTAGTTAATAAATTATTACACAAATGAATTATTTGTTAGGCAATGAATTTGTTAGTCAATAATTTTGTTAGTCAATAAATTATTACACAAATCAATTATTTGTTAGGCAATGAATTATTAGACAAATGAACTATTTGTTAGTCAATAAATTATTACACAAATGAATTATTTTTTAGGCAGTGAATTATTACCAAATGAATTATTACACAAATGAATATACATATCTAATTATACATATTTGATTGATCCTTCATCCTTGCTCATTGTTGCTTAACTCTAAGTATAATCACATATCTAATTATACATATTTGATTGATCCTTCATCCTTGCTCATTGTTGCTTAACTCTAAGTATAATCTGTAAAAAGAAAAACAATTGCTCATTGTTGCTTAACTCTAAGTATAATCTGTAAAAAGAAAAACAAAGTCAGTGAGCAACAACTTATCTTTTAGTATAATTAGAAAAGAGTTTAAAATAGAAATTAGCATGCTAACTAATAAACTATGAACATGTAAATATTTAATTGTTAGTCACTTAATTCTTGTTACTTGTTATTTGTTATTTAATTAGTACTTGTTACTTGTTATTTGTTAGTCACTTAATTCTTGTTACTTGTTGTTTATAGCAATGGAAGCAGGAGGTAGTTCTGGTGGTGTACAGTCTGTTCAAGATGATCACACTCCTTTGTGGAAGTATGTCACAAAGTTGGAGAAGATTGGTAAAGGAGGGGGGAATTGGCAGTGGATGTGTAGTTATTGCAATGAAGTATTTACATCCTCCTACTCAAGGGTCAAAGCCCATCTAATGCGGATTAGTGGGCAAGGAATTAAAATGTGCAAATGTGTTAAGCCGCACAATTTGAGAGACATGCAAACTGATGCGGATCAAGCAAAAGTAAGGGTGAGGGCTTCTATGCCTAGGACAGTGACGCTGTCAGGTTCTTCAGCGTCAAGTGCAGTAGCAGGAAGTCAAAGCATGCCTTCTCGTCTAAGTGAGCCAAAGAGGAAGAGGGGAGTCACCACTGTTGAACAGGCCTTCAATACAGGGGCAAGTGATGAATTGGATTTAATGATTGCAAGGATGTTCTATACCGCAATACAGGGGCAAGTGATGAATTGGATTTAATGATTGCAAGGATGTTCTATACCGGTGGGCTGTCATTTAATTTGACAAGAAATCCTTATTTCTCCAAGATGATCACATATGCCGCAAGCAGTTCAATTGCCGGTTACCAGCCTCCGGGTTATAATTCTTTGAGGACCACTCTTTTACAACGTGAGAAGGCTCACGTAGAGAGGTTGTTGGAACCCATCAGGGGCACATGGAAGTAGAATGGGGTCTCTATTTGTAGTGATGGCTGGACAGATGCATAGAGGAGGCCACTGATAAATTTTATTGCGGTCTCAGACAACGGGCCAATGTTCTTGCACTGTGTGAATGCTGAGGGAGAGCAGAAGAATAAATATTTCATTGCAAAGAAGCTTGAAGCTTGCATTAGAGAGGTGGGGCCTCAAAATGTGATCCAAATCATTATTGATAATGCTTCGGCATGCAAGGTCGTAGGGGCAGTTGTGGAGGGCAAATTTTCACATATCTTCTGGACTCCATGTGTTGTTCACACCCTCAATCTTGCCCTTAAGAATATTTGTGCTGCGAAGAATACAGAGACTAATGCAATTGCTTATGCAGAGTGCAGTTGGATTACAGAGGTATATGATGATGCTTTGATGATTAAGAACTTCATTATGAATCACTTAATGAGGCTGGCTATGTTCAATAAGCATTCGAAGATGAAGCTTCTTTCAATTGCTGATACTCGATTTGCTTCATGGATCATCATGCTAAAGAGGTTCACTGTGATCAAGAGAAGCCTCCAAGATATGGTTCTTAGCGACCGTTAGAGCTTGTACAGAGATGATGATGTGGGAAAAACACAGTTTGTTAAGGAGAAAGTGCTTGATGATTTGTGGTGGGATAGGGTGGATTATATTATTGCTTTCACTGCTCCTATATATGATATGATTCGGCTCACCGATACCGACAAGCCCAGCCTTCATTTGGTATATGATATGTGAGATACAATGATTTAGAAGGTGAAGACTGTTATTTATAGACATGAGAGCAAAAGAGAAATGATCCCTCCTTATTTTATGATGTCGTATACAAGATCTTGAAGGATAGATGGAATAAGAGCAACACGCCACTTGAGTGCTTGACGCACTCTTTGAATCCAAGGTAATAATTTAGATTATGTTATCAATTCATTATTTTTGATGTGATTATTTCTATTAGTAATGTCTAATTCAATGTTAAATTTTAATAGATATTATCACGAGACATGGCTCAATGAGAATATCCATCGGCAAGCACCCTATCAGGATGAGATCTCTTCGGAAAGATCCAAGTGTCTGAGGAGATATTATCCTAATGCCGATGAACGGAGGACGGTTAACTTGGAATTTGCTAGATTCTCGGCTGCTCTTGACACTTTTAGGGATCCAGATTCTCTTATTGATAGAGGATTGATGGATCCAAAATCATGGTTGGCGCTCTATGGATCGTCAACTTCAAATCTTCAAGCATTGGCCTTAAAGCTTCTAGGCCAACCCTGCTCATCCTCTTGCTGTGAAAGGAATTGGAGTACATACTCATTCATTCACTCTTTGAAGAGGAACAAGATGACACCGTCAAGGGCAGAAGATCTTGTGTATGTGCATAGCAATCTTCGTTTGCTTTCTCGATTATCCCAAGAATATCAAGAAGGAGAATCGAGGCTGTGGGATATTGGTGGAGATGCATTCGACTCATTTCAGGGTGTCGGTATTCTTAATGTCGTCACCTTGTCTCTTGATGAACCCACCATGGAGGCTGTATTGTTTGCTGATGATGAAGGCATTGAAGAAGTCATCGGACTAGCTTCCACTTCATCTTGATGTATTTTTTGTTTACAAACTTGTTATTTTGTGATAGAATGAGTAGAGTATGTACTCCAATTCCTTTTTGTTTACAAACTTGTTATTTTGTGATAGAATGAGTATGTACTCCAATTCCTTTTTGTTTACAAATTTGTTATTTTGTGATAGATTCATAATTTAGATTGTTAGTTGAATATTATAAAATTTTCTATATATAATAATAATTTGAAAAAAAATTCCTCGCCGTATCACCATATCCTATTTTTTTGGATTTTGCCATATCCCGTATCCGTGTCCGTGTTGTATCCGTGTCCCGTATCCGTATCCGTGCATCATAGATGTGCACTGAGGTTGAATTGTGTGAGGCTCTATATGCCCTCAAATGGACCCATGTTGGATATAATTAGAGTGAGAATGTAGTCACCTGACATTGAGTTGTGATACCATGGGCACAGAATGGGGTTCTTGAGTATCACCAGTCTTGCTTGAGGTGAATTTGATGAGTATCAAAATATTGTGACTACTTTGTTAATCACATTGATACATATGCGTTGAGATACAGCCATTTTATTTTGTAATGCATCGCTTACAGGTTGTGACTAGTGTTTTCTTTCTTCCCAATGTGAACGCTTTCTATACAATTTTCCTGTAATCCACTATTCCCTTATGTGCAACTAGCTATGGGCTTAACAGAGCCTTAAGTTGGGGTTTTTGTTCCAGTTGATTCGGCTCTGGCCCACACATCTAAAGTCCAGGGACTATCCATTTGCAACCTATATTCAAGTTTCGATGGTAATTAACTTGATTCAGTCCATGTCAGCATGATGATAGTCTTCTTTAGACTATTAAGGTCTTCAAGCTAGAAATCCCCCTTCCCCACTTCCGAGGTAAAAACAGTTGTACGCTATTAGAACTTTTATTTTCCTGTAAGTAAGCAATAACATTTGTTTGAAAATGGACCTTGTTTTTGGGGCTGTTCTTCCATGATCCATATGCATGTCAAATTTGACTAGCTCCATATTTGTATTTTCCAGCACTCTTTTTATTTAATTGAGATCTCAGGATTGTCATTTGCTTCTTTATCTCTTGATGCTAGCTTAATATATTTTAATCATAATGCAGAGTTCAAATATACAAGCATAACAAAGAAGAAAGGATTGCCCGAACATGGGGAACAACAGCTCCTGGACTGCCTTATGTTGAGGCAGCAATTACTCCAGCCGGTAATTGGTTAATCGGTGGAGATCTTGAAGTGCTAGAACCCATTAAATATAATGATGGACTCGATAATTATAGACTTTCTCCTAGAGAACTTCGCAAGGAATTTGACAGACGCCAAGCTGATGCTGTATTTGCTTTCCAGTTGAGGAACCCAGTACATAACGGTCATGCTTTGTTGATGAATGATACTCGAAGGCGGCTTCTAGACATGGGATATAAGAACCCAATCCTACTACTACATCCTTTAGGTGGGTTTACTAAGGAAGATGATGTGCCCTTGGATGTGCGTATGGAACAACATAGCAAGGTGATTTTTGCGAGCTAGTTTTTTGTCACGGTTTATGTTTCCACATAAGTGTGCAGATTCTATCACAAAAATGAATAGGGTGATCTGTATCATCACGAGTGGTTGGGCGGTTAGTTTGAAAATTTTAGCTATTCTATCTATGGTGCAAACAACCAATCCCTACTGGGGTGGTTCCAATAGGATCCTTATTCTCCAAGTAACTATTTATCTTTGGTTAAGTCCCCCCAAGATTTGTGTGATTGACGGAAACTCCCTAAGTTTTCAAAATTTTCAAAAGTGACAATTTGACGTTGCATTTTTATTTCTACAAAATAACTGAAACGCACAAAAAAAAACTATGATTATAAAAATTGACAATTATATGGAGTAAAGGTCCTGGAAACTTGAGTAGACTGCGGGCTTTGTCCACCAACTCTTTTACCTCTTCTGTTTGCTTTGGGATGTGTGCTGGTGTATCATGAGTATTGAGAAAAGATGGCTCTAATGTGTATCACACATCAACATACATCTCAAAGCAGATCAAAAGATAAAAAAGTTGGTGGATAGAACACTAGTTCCACTTAAGCTTGTAGGACTCCAATTATATGTACTCCAGTATAAACATATGTATTATGATTATATTAGAAATTAACGATTACATCCAAAAAGGGATGATAATTTTGACTAGAATTGAAAATAAAGTGGTCAAGTATCACTTTTAAAACCTCTGGGGGATATTTGGAATTCACTCTTTATTTTTTGCTTAAACAATATACAATAAAATTATCAGTTGGGGAACCATGTTATCAGGTTCTGGAGGATGGAGTTCTAGACCCTAAGACTACAATCGTGGCAATCTTCCCTTCACCAATGCATTATGCTGGGCCAACAGAAGTACAATGGCATGCTAAGGCGAGAGTAAATGCTGGGGCAAATTTCTACATTGTTGGTCGTGATCCTGCTGGAATGAGTCATCCAACAGAGAAAAGAGACTTGTATGATCCCGATCATGGGAAAAAAGTTCTTGGAATGGCTCCTGGCTTAGAGAAGCTCAACATATTGCCTTTCAGAGTATGCCACTGACTTCCTCTCATTTTGTTTCTTCCGAAAGTGTTCCTTTTTTATATGCACAATTTAAATTATCGGGGTAAATTGCAAATAAACCCCCTCATCTGTACCTTGAGTGTCACATATCACCCCCTCAACTACGTTACTAGCAATTATTACCCTTGGATTCACATTTTCAGGGAGGCATAATTGCAGATAACCACCTCTCCATTGTGGATCTAGGAGTGTTAGATGCTATATAATAGTTTAAGGGTGGTAAGTGAACTTAAGGTATAGATGAGGGAGGTTATCTGCAATTCACCCTTAAATTATTAGAATGTAAGCTTGAATGTGATTGTGAGGTTTGAAAATGATATTTGTAATATTGTAAGATTGTAGTGATAACGATGATATTATAATGAAGAGAAGGGGAAAAAACTTACGAGATGTGCATGTGTTATGGATCAGGAACATTGGGTAACTATATACAAAATGCACAAAGCATAACTGTAGCTGAGATGAAAAAGTAACACAAAGTCAGAAGCTAAAAGTTGCACTAGCATTAGTTGTTGATGAAATGAGAGAGAACCAATTGAGACAGTTTGGTCATGGACTTCAAAGATCAATATTTAGCTGCTTAGCAGGGACATGATTGCCAGTGATGAAGCAATAAAGAATGAATGTAGACCTAAATTAACATTGTTTGAGGTGGTAAAAAAGGGTTATTTGCAGATAGATCCCCCTGTAATATCTCTGTTTGAACTTACTACCCCTGTAGTTCTACTATTGCAGGTAAAGCCCCTGAATAAAAGTTTTTTTAAGTCTTTTGGCCTCAGAGAAAGATGATGGTTTTTTACAGATTGACCCACTGAGAGCAGAAGAGTCAGAAACATTTTCACTCAGGGGGTCTATCTGCAACAATACAACTAGAGAGTAAGTTCAAAACAGCAACACTATAGGAGATCTATCCTCAATTAACCCTTAATTTGACCAAGGAGATATCATCCTTATATGAAGGGAGAAAAGGACTCTTCTAGCTGACTCATAAATTCAATGACATGACTTACTTGCTAGTTGCTTGACCTTCTTTTTTCTTCCATGCATGTACTTATGGGTGCGCTCATGGTGTTTACCTGTTGCTTTCAACAGTTTCTTTGTAGCAGTATTCATGTTCTGTTGACCACTTCCAACTGCAGTACTGCCACGTAGACATAATGTGGTTGTATATTCCCTATATTCATCTACTTAATGCTGCTATATTTATTATCGAACGAGTAGTAAGAAGGGAAAGAATAATAGAGCACCTTTTTTTACAATTAATTGAGTTTCTTAAGACTGTTTCTCTTGGATTTTCTATTTTGTAAAGGGAAGCCACATCATGTGCTTGTTACAGACTTGAATACGTGATGCTGAACTCTATTAAGATACACACCATGTACATTCTTCTTTAGTCACTTTTCCTAAACCCACACATTTATTCTTTTTGTTATTATTGCTCTCAGGTTGCAGCATATGATACAGTAGCAAAGAAAATGGCATTTTTCGACCCTTCTCGAGCTAAAGATTTTCTCTTCATCTCTGGAACCAAGGTATTGAAGGCACCACCCTTCTTCAATTTGCTTATTTGCAAAGCACAATAACTGTGCTTTCATCTTTACCCTTTAAAGATGAAAGGTTGTTTGTATATTTATATAACCCTTAAGCTATGTGTAGTTTACAATATCCCAAAGTCTCAGTAGTTACAAAACCACCGCAAAACATCAACTTTGGGGGGAAAACCCCTCTAAATCAACAAATCATATTATCTCCAGATAATAATAATAATAAAATAATAATATAAAATCAACAACTTTGTTAAATATGGCGAGTAAAAAATTTGACTTTTTTTTTATATTTTTACATTGCAGTAACGAAGTAGCCCATCAAAGTTGATAATTTGTTGATTTGGGCATTTTATTTTATTTTTTGTACGAAGTTGATGATTTGGAGTGTCTATGCAAATATTGAGATTTAGAGGGTAGTAGTGCACATACATATGATTTAAGGGTCAGAAATACCAGAATCACTTTTTGATATTGTTCTCTTTTCATCAAGAATGGAGTATTGACATCTTACAAATTTTCTTTGCAATGTTTTTGTTTCAGATGAGAACATATGCAAGGACAGGAGAGAGCCCTCCTGATGGTTTCATGTGTCCTGGTGGCTGGGAAGTTTTGGTTAATTATTACAAAAGCTTGCAAACTGAAGAAGCTAACCAACAGCCAGCTACTGTATGATGATACGCTTTTTGTAGAAGAGAGGAGCTAAATTAAATTGGAAGCTTTTGGTGCAGAATTCTTATTCGCTTTGAACTCAAAATTTAGTTATTCTGATGTTTGATTTGTGATTGTTTTCATTTTCCTATCATTTATTTTATACGTAAGTGTTTAATGATTTTGGTGAGAAACAAAGTGAAGCAAAATAAGATGGAATTGCGTAATGACAAGCAATCGCTTGTCAAAAATTTGTTCTTCGATGTGCTATTGATTTTCTTCCAGTTTTTATGCAAGGCTTAGCCGGAGCTTTGATATACTGTTGTTTGAGCGAAAATTGTAGCAAATTTGGACTTCAAGTGACTCTGGATATCCATTGTGTTTTTTGCGGGTTTCCGTCGGGAAAAAAAGGGTTTTTTCGATATTAGTCCCTGAAATCATCAATGTTTTGATATTAGTCCCTCAGATCATTGAAATTTGATATTAGTCCGCCAAGTCTTATATCTATGTTGAGATTAGTCCCTGCAGTTAGGGGCTGTTTGATTTGGCTAGAATATTTTGTTAACATTAACTTTAAGAGTAGGATGACCATTATACCCCTTTGATTACAAATCTGAACCTATTACTACAAAATTCATACCATTTACAACGTCAAACCCATTAACATTACAAACACAAACTTGTTTCTTTCCCTTTCTTCTTCCCTTTGCCCTCATAAACTCCTCATACCACCGCTCCATCTCAAGCTCCAATCAGATCTGTGTCTCAACTACGACTCTAGTCACTCTACCAACGCTACCACCCGACTCCTCCACTCACTCTCCCAACACCACCACCCAACTCCTCCACTCATTCTCCCAACGACCTGACTCATCATTGTCATAGAGACTCTGCCTTCTCTGTAACTGCACGAATGTTAAAGCTTGATCACCCGATCTACAAAACCTACCTCCCCAACCTCCTCGTCAAATCCCCCTATAGCTCTAATAACCTCCTTGAGCTCTCCGCCTCTTTCAGAACACTTCAATAAAGCCCAACGTCAGCACTTATAAATGCCTCATCAATGAGATGTTGAAGGAGAAGATGATCCATGAGACAATAAATGCATTTTCTCTATAATCTTAGGAAAGTTGACAAAGCTCTCAACTTGTTTGATGAAATGTGCAAGAGAGGGTTGAGATAGGGTTGGAACTTGATGTAGTGGTGTATACTCTGGCGCTAATGGATTTTGTGATATAGTTCTTCTTGAAGAAGGGTCCACTTTTATATCCCTATGGTCATGGGCTAACCTAACGTCACCATCGTTGCCCTCCTCTCCTCCAAATGGTTTTTATCTGATCCTTGAGGATATTGATCATGGAGACATGATACAGTGGCGATGACAGAGAGGTTTGAGGTTGGGGGGGGGATTTTAAGTTATAGTTCTGCCAGTAGTGAAGATGGAGAATTTGAGGAGGAGAAGGTGTTGTTTTTGAGAGGAAGTAATTAGAAATGGATGGTAATTTGGTAAACACTTATATTACCATGGACTTAACTACGGTTAAGAGATTTTAACAGATTATTTGACAGAAGGACTAATATCAACATGGTTATATGATTCGAGGGACCAATATGAAATTTTAATAATTTGGGGGCCTAATATCAAAATATTGATGATGCTAGGGATTTAATTGCTTGACGTGGCATGTGCAACCCATACAAGTTAAAAGGACCAGAATGTCCCTTAATTTATTAAAGAAGTTCGTTATCATCTTTTTATATTTTCAACCTTAAAAATAAGATTCTTGTTTTTGGTCATTCGTTTTCCTCTTGTTCACTGCCAGATTGAGACACTGAATCCTAGTTGTTGTTTTCTATTGTTGGAATTGTCTTTTAAAATGTCTTTTTATGTTTTTTTTGTCTTAATTTATAGGGGTTATTTGCAAAATGCAGAAATTCATTGGGAGTTTTTTGCAGTTTTAAAAGTTATTGGAGGTTTGGAGTAATTTTAAAAGTTATTACTGGTTTAGTGTGATTTTTGAAAGTTCTTAGGGGTATGAGTGTGATTCTGAAACTTATTGGGGGTTTACTGCAAACCACTGAAAGTTCATCAAGGTATAGTGTAATTTACCAACACGAAGTTCCTAATTTCTCCTTCCATTTTCTGTTCCATGTTTGATTCACTGCTGTGAAGATGTACGCCACACAGCAAACGTAGTGTTCTCCAAGGTTCCCTGCTACAAGAGGCCCTCAACCGTTCCCCTGGCGCGAAAAATGAAATAAATAATAGGTTAACTGCCATATTAGTCCGTTAAATTACCCTTAACTGGGTATTTGTTTATCCGTGCCTCAAATCTTCATTTTTATTGCAATTTCGTCCCTTCGTTAAACTCACTGTTAGTTTTCCTAACTTTAGTTGGGTTAACTCTTAACCATTAACCCTTAACCAAACATCTAGAATTACCTAATTGCGCTAGCTATACCTTACACTCTAAAGTAACACAAAATTTATTTCTTCTCAAAAATTTTCCGCTCCATTAAAAAGAGGGAAGAAAAACAAAAAAAATCTCTGAATTGGGTTTTGGGAAAGTTTTTTGACCATTGGAGAAGAAAGAGGTGGTGTGTTTGAGTTTTGGTTCGCGCGAGTTGTGGGTATACACCTGTTGTAAAGCGGGGTGGTGAGGTTGTAAACCATATATAGGGTTAACTATGATTTGAGTATAAAAAGAAACCCACCAATTCTTGTTAAAGTTGACACAATCCCACCCTCATAAATAACATTAACTAGCAGGAGCGTCCGAATCGCAATAAGAGCATCTCCAAGGGATCCCTTGGATGTCCCTTAATCTAGGGAGAACTTTAAGGGAGGGGTTAGTTCTTCTCCAATGGTTCCCCTTAAAAGTCTCATACCCCTTAATTAATTATATTTAGTTTTTTAATTTTATAAATTAAGATTTAATTAAATATGTGGTTTATTTATAAATGAATAAATAATTAAATATTAATAACTAAAAATGATTAATTAATTAATTTAAATTAAGAAATTACCTTATATAATCATTAAATTAATTATTCATATTAAAATTTAACAAATAATTAATTTAGAATAAAATATTAATCAAATTGAATTAACTATATATTAACTTAATTATATTATTTTAAATTAACTATACATTAACTAAATTTAATTAACAATAAATTAATTCTAAAAACATATATATTAATATAAAATTATAAGGGGAAGGTTAAGGGACTTTTTAACATTCCCCTTAATTTGGTGAGGAAGTTAAGGGACATGGGGTGAAGGGGTTTTTTTTCCGGTCCCTTGGAGCACATCTCCCTTAAATCTCCCTTAATTTAGCTAAGGGGCCGGATTTTTCCGGCCCCTTGGAGATGCTCTAACAATGAAGATCTGAGGCCCTAATGAGCAAACATTGGGATTTGAGGGACTAATTGACAATTAAAGATTTAATAAGAGACTAAGACGCGATTAACCCAGCGTCTGAAACCCTATCCATACCCAAGCCCTCGGTGATCGAACCCCTATCCATTTCATCTTCCTCGAACGATGGAAACCCTAACCCTACTTCATCTTCTCTCCCTCTTCCTTCCTCATCGCTGGCCGATGCTCTTCAGATTCGATGGAAGAGACGAGCAACAACAGCACCTTAACTCTAGATTCTTCCGTCGTCGTCGAAGATAACGAGTCAAGGGCTCCCGATCACCGGTTCTCCTACCAGACCCTCGTTCTCTTTGCTGCAGGTTATCTCTGATTAATTGCATCATTTTTATTTCTATTTTTTTTGCCCAAATGTCAGTTTCATTATTTGTTGCATGTTGAAACGACTCTTGTTTGTTGGAGATTATGATAAGGTTAGGCAATTCTCTTCTTTCGAGATAAAATATCCAGTTTTGCTCGCGAAAACAATTTTGTATTTTTAAGAATAGCAAGACATCCATACTACTATATTAGAATCTTAGTGGGGACATCAAAAACATTGAACGACATTTCCCATCATAGTAGAAGAGTAAGGGGCACGTTGGTAATTTTGCACGTGAATGATTTTCTTTCCCTTTCTTGTGTTCCTTCTCTTATTTGTAGAAGATTCTATATTATGAATGGGAATAGGATTTCATTCACAGTAATTAATATTCATAATTTTCTTATTTCTAGAACGTTCTAAATCATGAATAAAAATAGGATTTGAACTAACATAATTAAATAAATCATCAAGTTATACATTATAAGGGAATAAAATATAAAATTACAAGTTTCTTCTCCGAAATGATTATTACATGTCAGTGCAGAAGTTAACGATTAAAATATATAGACCATGATCACTTAAAAGAATACTTTCAATTTTAAATAGTAGGATTTTCTTAACAACTCCTTATATTTTTATATTATTGGGGAAAAAGTATTTTCTACAATGATTTCGGTTGATATTAGTAAATGAAAAGCTACATTCTCAAATAGTATATTTTTATAAATTATATCTTAACTATTTTGGAATATGATATACAAGCTAAGAAACTGATGAAACTTTAGGCTAATAAATATGATTAGCTCTTTTTATATTAGATTTAGAATAAATAAGCTTAATATCTATGACACGGTGTATTTGCATGTGCAATAATGCTAGTGCTTTTTTAATACTTGGTATTACAGCCAATGGCGGAGCCACCTTAGAGCCCATGGGGCCTTGGCCCCCATTAAAAATAAGGGTTCTTTATATATACCCCCTTATATTATGTGCATTTGCAAAACAACCTCTGATATAAGTCTCAATATTTATAAAAGTATCCAATTTAGAAAAAAGGTCCTAAATCAACAAATCATGAATTTTGTTGGATATAGTGAGAAAACATTTGACTACTTTATTGTTATTTTTATATTGCAATTGTAAGTTAGCCTATCAAAGTTAATGATTTATTGCTTTGAGAATAAGGTTGTAATTTGAGAATAGTTTAGCAAATACTGAGATTGTAGGATAGTCTTACAAATATGCATGACTTAGACCATCTCCAACCCATTGCACCAAAATGGTGCAAATTTTACATCAAAATAGGGCAAAAGTCACATCAAACAGTAATACATCTCCAACCCATTGCACCATTTTTTGTACCAAAAAAGAATATTCTCAGTTTATTTTCTTTTATCTATTTTTATATTAATTAAGAGGTAAAAATAAATATTTAATTTTTTTTAAAAAAATGAACAGTAATGGGGCGGATGAACAGTGCAACGCCATATTTGGTGTAGCACTGTTCAATTACACCAAAATGGCGCAGAAAATAGGGCTGGGTTGGAGAAAGAACAGTGCAACAAAAAGCACTGTTTGCACCATTTTGGTGCTGGGTTGGAGATGCCCTTAAGGGACATACAAAAACACCCAAAAATATTTTTTTAAAATTAAGGGGGATAATGGTAATAATAATTTCATAATTCATATGGGATAAAATGTGAGATCCCTCAAACTTTCTCAAAACTCCTCCATTTCTCTAGCAAGTTGTGAATAGATCTCTAGTTGTTTGGATTTCTTGCGAGCTCCCCTCATCCGCCCTAATCCCCAAAGACCCCACCATGTTTACTATACCATCAAAGACTCAACTAGCTAGATCTCTTTCCCATGCGTTCCTTTTGACCTCATCCCCAAAGACTCAACTAGCTAGATCTCATTCCCATCTACTTTCCTTTTGGCCTATCCGACCACCTTCCCTTCGTCTCCTGTGCTCATCCTCGACCAAATGTTATCCTATTTTATTTTTCACTTTTGCCTCTCATTTAGTTTGGACCATTTTATTGAAATTCCTGACTTTGCCACCGATTACAGCTAAAGGTGAGACAATCACTTGATAGGATGCTAGGCTTTTAAATGTGGTACTGTTGTGAACACTTAGTATACGTTAGGTTTTTTTTTCCAAAATTAGTTCGTTAATAGTCCTTACACCATTCATATTTTGAAATTAGTCTGTGAAATCAAGGAAAATACTATTAGGTCCCTTAATTCTTAATTTATTATGAAATTAGTCCATTAAACTATTAAAATTGCTATCAGGTCCCCCATTTATTAACCTATTTTGAAATTTGTCCTTATAGTCAAGGAAAGAAGTAGCAATTGGAGGGATTACCATGTAAAATCTATTGTTGTGGACTACCCGCTCCCCCAATTCTCATAATTTGTTTCAAATTAATTCCTCAAATTGCTATTCTATTCTTGGTTGGAGGGACTAATTTCAAAGTAAGTTAAGAATTGAGGGAACTAATAGCAATTTCAATGATTTGGGGAGACAAATTTGAAAATAACATAAGAATTCAAGGACCTAATAGCAATTTCCATGATTCGAGGGACTATTTTCAACATATGCAAGATTTAAGGGACTAATAAAAAATCCTTACATATTAATGGAACGGAAAAGAGGAAAATTTTCTCTGTTTTTGTGAGGGCAAATGCTGGAACATGTACATGTGTGGATGCATTGCCTCTTGGAAAGTATAGCACCAATTAGGTATATACTCGTCATATATTTGACATCCTTTCTCAAACTCACCAGGGTTGTGTTGACATTTCGCCAGTGTAAGGCTGCGAAGTGTTGAGCTATATGAGCTTTGGTAAAGAATATATGGAAAACACAATGTGTGTACATCATAGTGCTGCAAGCCACATACAATTGAGAAGTTTATTCCATTCATGAGATACCAAATTGCTAGCAACCTAAGTAGATCTTAGTCTTCACAATATGTAGGATTTGAGGTTATAAATGTTCTCATATCCCAATTAAGCAAGGAATTCATGAGACCACTTCAATGGTTGTGCCTTGGCATTATACTCAGCTTCAACAGTTTGACATCTATGTCATACTCCTTGACATGTGTAGAAATGAGAGAATGTTTAAAAAGATAAAGAAAATATTAAGAAATCCATTACTAGCTATGTCAGTGAACCTACCAAGCATTGGAGTATGTAGAACTGCAAAGGGAAGAAGAATGAAGAGAGAATAACACACAAGCCAGAGTCACCAAGATAGAGGACAGTCCATTAAAATTGGTCATCAATTTGACAAATTTCCTCTTGGAGGTGGAAAGCTTGTAATAAAGTAGGTCAATATTTCCTTGGAGCCTTTAGGTCTGATGTTGTATTTGGAGAGGTTTTAGGTAGCAAGCAATATGAGTCGCAGAAAGGTCACATAGTTTATCTTTCTTTAGTTTCTTGTGCAATTAGTTTGTTATTTCTATCTTTTTTATTGGATCATTTCTTTTGTTTTATATGCTTCCCTTTCAATTGATTATTTAATGGAATACACCACCTACTACTTTTTCATAGTTGAGCATTGAAGTCTTTGATATGGTTGAGTGAGTTTCTATTTTTTGTGAGCGAATGAGTTTTCAAAATGGCACTTATCAAAGTTCTCCCATTGGTTGCAGATTTGGTAATCAGAGTCCTTTTCTTCCAGATCAGTCTTCTGATATGTCCTTTCACATACATCATTTGGTTGTTTCGTTGTTCTTCGTTTCTGATACTAAATCCCTTTGGAACTTTGAGACACGTAAGAGATGGTGTGATGGAGAAGCTCCTCTGGATTTCAAATAGTTTAATGGAGAGAATCAGTTCAAAACTTTATGAGAAGCTTAAAAGGCAGCACAAATTGGTGAAAAGGATGAGTCGGGGAATATTCTGGTCTTTTTATGTTTTCTTGGTTCTATTGTCTCTATTGGTGATGGCTTTTGTAGCTGGAAGCTTGATTATGCATGGGGTTGTTGAGGTGCCTGTTATGATTGAGAAAGATTTCAGCTTTGACTACACAAAATCTAGTCCTGATGCTTTGGTCAAACTAGGAAAATGGGATACTGTCCCTTTTGGTTTGGATGCTGGAGGAAAGCTTTATGTATCTCCAAATCACATGCTGAAACTCAAAGTCTCATTGACGTTGCCTGAGTCTGATTATAACTGGAAGCTTGGAATATTCCAGGTGCGTGCTTCTTTCCTTATTTGAACTATTTGATCTGGTGTTGAATGGCCATTGCACGTGTAGATTTATAGGCTGGGAACATTCTGATTTCTCCCTGCAACTACTAGCCATTTTCTAAAGCCATTTCATTGTTTTGATTCTGGTTTTTGACGTGCAGGTTAGTTAGGAGATTAGCTGGGAATGTTAATGATTTCTTTAACTGCTGTAGTACACACAAAATGTACCAACTTATAAATTCATTTCTGCATTAAGTCGAGAAAATCAAATCCTTATTTTTTGTAATATCTGATGTATCATAACATTTTAGGAATTAGGATTACATAAAGTTGTCTTTTCTCGGTATGGGTAAGGTGTGGTTGTCTAACTCTGGTAGGTGCTGAATTCGCCTCAATGAAATTAGAAAAGATTCAGCAACACGGAACTATGCCTATGTTTAGAATTTTTTTCATGTATGCTGTAATTGTACTGAAGAATAACATGGGGAAATTAGTATTTTGTCAGGGTGTTGCTCTAAAGCTATAGAAGCCCTTTAAACTTCGATTTCATTAAACAAAATTTTAACCCATTCACCACCTAAACATTCCCCTTTCAGACTATAAATCTTCAAAAAAACTCCATACTTTTTAGTTAAAGGTCATGGGAAACCTCCCTGCAGTATGCCTTTTCTATCTAAATAGTAGGATGTTTCCACCTTCTCATGGCTCCCTTTTATGTTTTCTCCCCAATCTGCCTTGTGCTAAAACATATTAGGAAAAGGATTAGATTTAGCTGATCATGTAGCAAAGGGAAGGAACTCGCCTGCTCTGCCAAGAGAATGGCACTTCCTATGCTGTGTGGGGATTCCTTCAATGTTGATGCCTTTGAAGCAACCTATTGAAGAGGACTCTCCTTAACTTACCAATGGAAGCTGAGCTGGACTATTGCTTTATTCACATACTTGCAATGGCTGCTGCTCCACCAAAATGGATATTTAATGCCTATAGCACCATTATTGATATCGTTCTTTTCACCATCTTGTGCCCTACCCATTTGTAAAAGAAAAGGTAATGCATTACTGTTTGGGCATTTGATTGTTGTTTGAAGGATTTTGTTCCTGATTGAAATTCTCATATAGAAGAACATATGCTGGTGCATGTGCCAGTGGCCAATACCTTAGTTTCAGAATTGATACCTTATTTGTTGTAAAAAATCCTTGTAACATAACATAAAGAAAATGTAATTATTAGATTGTTTGTTGGGTGTCATCTCAAAGCAATACCGAATTTACATCATCTGGTCCAAGGACACAACAACAAAGGTGAGTTAGAGCAGTGAAGTTCACCACCGGTCCCTATATGTGTCGTCTCCGAAGTCAGAACCATGAAGTTGGGGGTTATAAGGGGGTTGAACAATTTATACCCTAAATTACTACTTGAGACAACCATCCACCAAGCTGAATAGAAGAAAATAAGTCATGCACCTGACTTTAAAAAGTTAAGATGGGGGCTTGGAGTTGTCTTACCCATTGTTGCATTTTGGATTGATTAGGTAGATGTATATAGAATTGAGTGGCATAGGAGAGAATCCATCTGTATAATTTTGAGAACTGTTTGGTTGAAATGAACCTCCTGACATTTCATTAAACAGGATTTAACAAAAGAAAGTGCAGAAGTGCTGATGTCTAGTTGTCTAAGATTTTGGTTTTCTGAAATGAACAGTAACTTTCTTTTTAATTATCAACTTTATGTAGACAAAGTTCCATTTTTAATTCTCTTTTGAAATCACGGGTCTCTTCCTGATACGAGTTGCCGTGCGAGCACCCTTTGGTCGCGGAATTACCAAAAGGTGGGTTGAGAAGAGGATGACCAAACACAAGAACAATTCAGTATAAGGTGAAGAAAAATACCTTCTCTAGATTATGAAGAACAAAGATTACAATCTCTCCCTCACAATCTCGCTAGAATTAAGAACAACCTCTCAACTCTCTCTCTAAAACCCTAATACAATTATTAGAATTTCTCTTGATCACTTCTCTCTGAGATCTGATTGTTTAGAACCCTAAAACAATCCTATTTATAGATGTGCAAACGTGGATGGCAAACTTGTAAATAAACAAGCCCAAAAGAATCAGGAATCCCTGTCAAAACAGAATCCAAAACGAAACAGGAAACCCAGAAATCACGATCCAGTCGACTGCCAGGCTTGGTCCGGTCGACCGGCCAGAGAGTTTTCTCAAACCCTGCACTGTGCAGGTTTTCCGGTCGACCGGCATGTGTGCTGCGGTCGACCGGACAGAGATCTGCCAGTTTACCCTGTTCTTTTGCGATTCAAGTTAGAACTGAAACTGAGGGAACTCGCGAGCCCCTCCTCCTTTTCTGAACCACCTGGCCTTGCTAGGAATCTGATCTCGACGTCTGATCGGAAACAACTCTTTCATCCCGCGTCTTGTCGTAGTCACCTTTTGCTCCAAATCGCAATCCTCTTTCGATGGTTCTGGAAATCTAATGCACAGCGAGACAAACTTCTTGCTTGCATTCACTAACCTCTTCGCTCGCGTCACCGTTCCCAAGCTTGTCTCCCTCGGAAGAGATGCCGAACGAAATATGAACTTTTCACCACCCTTAGTGAATGTATACTTCTGAGCCTGCCTCTCGTAGATCGCATATCTATCCCATAAGTACGGATTGCCCAGTATAATCTGACAAACATCCAATGGAACTACGTCGCATGTGACCTCGTCAATATACGACTCATGGAGCGCAAATCTTACAGTGCATTGATCAACTACACATAGCTTCTCCTCCTTCTGAATCCACCCCAATGGATAGGGCTTCGGATGCTTGACCGTCTTCAGACCCAGCTTCTGAACCAAGGCTTCGGATATCAAATTCTTCTCGCTGCCCGGATCAACTATGGCATCAACTAAACTGGTCTTCACTTGCAACTTAAGAACAAAGAGCTGCTCTCTTGGGTCGTCGTCCTCTTTCGTGGCCTGTTTCCCCGTCATAAGATTGAGACTGCTATTAGGCTCTGTCATCCCCGAAACTTCTTTCGGACCTTGAGCTATCATGTATGCCTTTTTCTTCTCCTTCTTCTTCAACCCTCTTGGTTTGAGATGAGGATACTTCTCCCAGCACCGATCAGCTTCGTGTCCTGTCTTCTCGCAGTGACTACAAATCAGCCATGTTTTTCTTGGATCACCCTTCTTCTTCTCCTCCTTAAACTAAGAACCACAAGACTCGCCTCCAACTTGCTTTGCATCCCCTTTTGCTCCGTTGCTCTTCTTTTGCTTGCCCTCAATGGCAATGGCCTTCACGCTCGCATCTGCAATAGTCTCTACCGTGAATAACCTCATCTCCTTTCGGATATAATCGCTTAATCCCGCCATATACTTCATAAACACGGAATATTCCTCTGTCGTAATGTTAAGGACCATCGCCTGCTGCTGGAACTCCGTAGTGTATTCTTGAACGGTTTGATTGACCCTTTGGCGCAAGCCATACCACTTGTACCAACGCTCCTCAAGGAATCCCACCGGATAGAACTGTTTCCTAAGTAGCTCCTTGAACTTGTTCCACGATACCGCCTTTTTCTCTTGCTTGCAATAGGATTTCCACCACGTCAACACATGTCCTGAAAGCTTCAAAGTCGCGAACACAATCTTCTCTTTTGACGAATAGCCATAAAGAGTAAAATACGTCTCCATCCGCTCGATCCAGTCATCAAGCCTCTCGACGTCAACACTCCCATCATAAATAGGAATCTCCACTCTGAAATTAATCTTCAGATTCTGGTAAGAATTCTTACCCCCTTGATGCGGTGCAGTCTTGACGGTCTCGTCCTCCTCGTCGGAGCCTGAAAGCTCGCTCTCTCCACCGGACTCTATAGGTTTCTTCTTAGACCTAGAAGAAGATTCCCCCTTTTCGTTCCCTCCTTGGATGAGACCGACGAGTTTTGTGAGCGTCGACCCTATCGTCTCGATCTGCTTCTCTAATGCATCAATTCTCGCAGAATTATCTCCTTCAGTCATCTTCTCCTTCTTAAATCCTGGACTCCTTCCAATGAAATAAGGATCTCGCCAAGCTTCTTGTATGAGGAACGAGTAAGGACCATACACAGGATGCCCCTTCACCGGATCTAGTGCTCTGATACCAACTTGATACGAGTCGCCGTGCGAGCACCCTTTGGTCGCGGAATTACCAAAAGGTGGGTTGAGAAGAGGATGACCAAACACAAGAACAATTCAGTATAAGGCGAAGGAAAATACCTTCTCTAGATTATGAAGAACAAAGATTACAATCTCTCCCTCACAATCTCGCTAGAATTAAGAACAACCTCTCAACTCTCTCTCTCTAAAACCCTAATACAATTATTAGAATTTCTCTTGATCACTTCTCTCTGAGATCTGATTGTTTAGAACCTTAAAACAATCCTATTTATAGATGTGCAAACGTGGATGACAAACTTGTAAATAAACAAGCTCAAAAGAATAAGGAATCCCTATCAAAACAGAATCCAAAACGAAATAGGAAACCCAGAAATCACGATCCGGTCGACCGCCAGGCTTGGTCCGGTCGACCGGCCAGAGAGTTTTCTCAAACCCTGCACCGTGCAGGTTTTCCGGTCGACCGGCATGTGTGCTGCGGTCGACCGGACAGAGATCTGCCAGTTTACCCTGTTCTTTTGCGATACGCTCCTGTTGACTTCTTTCACCGTCTTCTTTGGCTCCATCCATGCTCCTATTCCCAAGATATGAGAATCTCCTATCCTCAAGCTCCCATGAGGATCGCTAAGCTCCTGAAGAGAAGATACACCCGTATCACTTCCACCTCTCCCAATGTAGTAGAGAAAATATCTTTGGTATGTTGTTAGGAGTGCACATTTGATCGGAACACCCCCATAGAGTGGGGTGATCTATACTATTCACGGGTAGTTGGGGGTTAATTTGGAAATTTTAACACTTCTATCTATGATGCAAACCACCCCATTCGATCCTTTTGTTTGATGGCATGATTTGGCACTTGTGATCAGTGTTGTAAAAAGTGGGAAATAGCACCGCTAATCGCGGAAGCGGTAGTGAATCACTTCGATAAACATGATAGCGATGTGAGATTGTGGAGAAAACCGCTTTTTACTCGAAAAAGCGGTTAATAGCACGAAATAGCGGTGTTTATCGCTTAAAAGCGCTTTTAAGTGTCAAACACCGCTATTTCTTTTCAAAAAATCCCTACCTGAATCCGACCCGAACCCATAAAACAAAAACCCATCTCAACTCTCTCTCTCTCGCCTCTCTGACTCCCGACCCGAGCCTTA